GCAGCTGCCAGGAGCTGCTCAGCCTCGGGCACTCCCTGAGCGGCTGGCACACCATCTACCTGCCGGACTGCAGGCCTCTGACTGTGCTTTGTGACATGGACACAGACGGAGGGGGCTGGACCGTGAGTGTGGGCTGGGGTCTCCTGGCCAGAAGGGCAGCTAGGGCTCCTGGAGTCCTGGCTCCCTGCCTGGTGGGTGAACACTTTGGAATTCTCTACCCTCTTTCTGTTCTGAAGCAGAATCCCTCCCTTTCCCTGAGGACAAAAAGAATCAGAAATGGTGGGGAGGTCACTCATGGGCTCAGAGGGGGCCCACTGCCCTCCTGCTGTGTGGCCTTGGGCATGTTGCCTGCCCTCTCTGAACCTCCATTTCCTCCTTCCTCATATGGGGTCTGAGATCAGACCAGGTCGGGGTACTGGTGGCACAGGGCTGTGGTACACTATGACCTCTCAATTCCTGCTCCTGGGAGACTGGGTCCTGCTGTGCTGGGGATACCAGCCTGGCCTCCTGCCTCCTGTCCTGACTCTCTGCAGGTTTTCCAGAGAAGGGTGGACGGCTCTGTGGACTTCTACCGTGACTGGGCCGCATACAAGCGGGGCTTCGGCAGCCAACTGGGGGAGTTCTGGCTGGGAAATGACAACATTCATGCCCTGACTGCCCAGGGTAGGCCAGGCAGGGTTGGGTGAGCCCGGGGCTCTGGATGGAGCTGTCCCTGCCCCTTAGACTGGGCCATCGGGAACAGGAGGCTGGATCCTGTCACCTGCAGGCATCAGACCCTGAGCTCACAGGGGGTCACACTGTGACATCCCAGGACATATATTTCCTGCTGTAACCCCCAGAGCACTGGGATCAGAGGCAGTGAGGTCTTCTGGGAGCAGATCCCTTCCAGATTGGTACCCTGGCTTCTTAGAACCTGAGCATGGGACCAAGGACAGACCACTGGGGCTGGGGTAACCCTTTCCCCAACTCCCATTGTTGGTCTGCCTGTGAAGCTGGCACCTGAATCCCATGGGAACCCCTCCAGCTCTGGCTTTGACAGGCCCCCACACAGCCGTGCTCACCCCTCTGGTGCATGGCCCGGCCAGTCCTTCACCTCTGTACCTCGGCTGCTCAAGTGCCTTAAATGCCTATATAAGAAATGACACCCACACCCTGTCACACTGCTGTGCTGATGGCTTTGTAGTGCTTGCAGGAGAATTTACGCTTTCAGACTAATGTAACACTTTATCCCATCCAACAGTGGGTCCTCAGGCCTGGCTCAGTACATAATGGGAGAAATATTTAGGAACAGGGCTATCCCTAGACTATCCCATCAACAGGGGTCCTCACACATTCCCAGCTCATTTTCCTTGATGCTGAGTGCCATCACCCCCTAAAAATTTACAAAGCCCCCCCTGGTGATAGATGCCTGGTGATAGAAGATCTTAAAGGCTGGAACCTTGACCTCTTCCTCCAACAGGCACCAGCGAGCTCCGTGTGGACCTCGTGGACTTTGAGGGCACCCGCCAGTTCGCAAAGTACCGCTCCTTCAAGGTGGCAGGGGAGGCCGACAAGTACAAGCTGGTCCTGGGGGCCTTCGTGGAGGGCAGTGCAGGTGCGTGTGCACTTGGCCATGTGGTCTGGACTTCAGAGTGGGGCTTGGGAAGCAGAGATAATCTGGCCCTGTGTCCCCATGACCTTGGGCTAGAGACCTAGTCTCTCTGAGTCTGGTCTCTCCATCTGTCACGATGATCTGACACCTGCATCTCCAGGTAACAATGGGTTCATGGGCACCATTGCTTAAGGCTCCTAAGGTTGTGTCTGCCAAGCTGTGAGCTGAGTGGGGACTAAAATGACTGATTAGCATCCCTGCTGAAACCTGGAAGACGGTGGTCATTTCTCATGGGACCTTGGAGCCCTGTTTCCCAAACTGTGTTCTATGGAACACCAGCCTTATGGAACCAAAAGGACTCAGGCCATAGGATTTGGAGTAGCATTTCCTACAGAGCATCTGCTTGGGGAATCCCCCAAACACATTCTCTCATTAAAGGCTCTGAGAGCTGCCGAGAGACAAAGCCCAATTAACTGTGCTGTAACCAGAGCTGCAGAGCAAGGGGCTCCCTGGGGTCACTTTGGGAATGACCTTGGAGTTTGACCACCCCTCTTCCACTCAGTCTCAGGTGAGACCTCTGAGGATAGAAGCAGAGAGACAGCCCCCATTATGTAAGCAGCTAAGCAAGGCTGGGGGTAACACTGCTCACTTGAAGAGGCCAGAGGAGAGCTGCAGGCTCAGGGCTCAGCAGGGAGCAGGAAGGGCCCCAGATGAGGCCCACTGAAGAGGCTGGGTGCAGGCCAGAGGGCCGAGGGGCTCCGGGGACAGAGCAGTCCTGACAGAGGCCAGGTGCAGGCCGGAGGACGGAGGGGCTCCGGGGACAAAGTGGTCCTGACAGAGGCCAGGTGCAGGCTGGAGGGCAGAGGTGCTCTGGGGACAGAGCGGTCCTGACAGTTTTAAGGGAGCCCTAGGGGAAGCAGGTGGTTGCTGGAGAGGAAGGTTGTGGAGAAGACCTCCCAGACCAGGTGATGGGAGACCACCTTCTGCTCTCTCTCACCCCAAAGCCCAGGAAGGTGGTTAATCCACCTGGACTCAACGGCTGGGCTTTAAAGTGAAGCTTGTGCTGAGCAGAGGCAGGAGGCAGGCGGGACACCGTGACAGCCAGTGGGGACCCTGTGATGGCAGGCGGGACACCGTGACAGCCAGTGGAGACACTGTGATGGCAGGCAGGGCCCCACGACGGCCAGTGGGGACCCCGTGATGACAGGCAGGGACCCTGTGACAGCCAGTGGGGACCCTGTGATGGCAGGCAGGGCCCCACGACAGCCAGTGGGGGCCCCGTGATGGCAGGCAGGGACCCTGTGACGGCCGGCGGGGACCCTGTGATAGCAGGCGGGACACCGTGACAGCCAGTGGGGACCCTGTGATGGCAGGCGGGACACCATGACAGC